CCCTCCCGGCCGGTCCCTCTCCCACCCACCCCATGATCAAGTGTTCCGCTTGTTTTTTGGGGGGGCTATCTGGTAACCCTAACCACTATTCCATATTTGGCTTCTAACAGAAGCATGTTAAGCACTAACTCTTGAGAAGCTCCACTGGATGCCTGGAAAGCACTAGAGTCTTCTGAACAATAACTCTGCTCAAAATAGTGCTCATATTACAAGGGATTTCTGGTGCAGTATGAGTGATCGATAGCAAACCAATTTTTTGGGGGGGCTATCTGGTAACCCTAACCACTATTCCATATTTGGCTTCTAACAGAAGCATGTTAAGCACTAACTCTTGAGAAGCTCCACTGGATGCCTGGAAAGCACTAGAGTCTTCTGAACAATAACTCTGCTCAAAATAGTGCTCATATTACAAGGGATTTCTGGTGCAGTATGAGTGATCGATAGCAAACCAATGAATGGAGACAAACTATTTGTGGTTGGCAGCAGGAAGTGGTATGAATATAAGAAAGAATATTGGGGAAAAGATTATTTGAAAAGCAAAATTAGCCACACCAAGCAAGTTTCAATAAAGCAGTAACACCAGCGTGCAGAAAAGACCACTTAAATGTTGTAGAATTATTTTATAAGTTGCTGATAAGAGTATGGCGCTCTTCAACTGTTTTCTATTTATATAAATGTTCACATATGTTTTCAATATTAAACTGATAAAATGAACCACCCACAATACACAAAGCTGCCTTTTTCCTCCTCTTTTATATTGTAAGTGTTTAATTGTTAGCACATGCTGGAGGGCTATGAAAACAGAATGTCTTTGAACAGTGAAACTAAATCGGATGGGAATTTAGAGGAAGAAACTGGCCACAAAGGTTAGAAATGCTCTTTATCCTTGAGAAGGTTATCTTTTTTAAGCATTTTGTCCATTAGAATGTAATGAGTAATTGCAAGTATATGCATAGTGGATTTAGAAAACAACAGTAACGTAGGCTACACAAAAAGTGATCTGGGCTGATTTCATCACACCAACTTTAGCAATTGTAATAAGACACTAAAGTTCCTGTGTATAAGG